CAGCAGGAAGGAGATGTCTGGGACAAGGCGGACTCCGGCTGGCAAAAACAACAGGTAAGGTGTATCATGCCGGAAAGCCAATATTTCTCCCACTCGTCTAGCCGAGGTGACAGCAATTAAAAAGGCCCTTTTCCACACTAGAAGTTTGAGGTCGCATGTTTCGAGCGGCTCAAAGGGCTTCCTCGTGAGCTGGTGGAGAACTAGAGGAAGGTCCCAGGGAGCGACTGGAGTCTTGACAGGAGGTTAGAGATGCAATAAACCTTTTAAAAAACATTTTTTGGATGTGAAAACAAAGTACATCCATCAACTGGAACATGGTAGGCTGAAAGAGCGGTCAAATAAACTCTCAACGAAGAATTGGAAAGTCCCGAGTCAGCTAGGGAAAGGAGGAATTGGAAAACTCGTTCGAGCCCCGCTGAGGTGGCTCGAGGGGCGTCATCACCTAGGGAAGAACATTTATAATCGTACGACCTCCGCATAGTAGGTTTCCTGGAATTCAACAGGACGTTCGTTACGTGAGTGGAGAAGCTGGTGATGTTATTCTCCATGCCGTCAGTTTCAATTGTGGTATGTCGTGATGTAAGAGAGGGGAGTCGAAGAGGAGGAGGAGGTCCTGAGCCAGAGGGAATTGATGGTATATCCCCTGTGATAACTCAAGGACTGTTGAAAACCAAGGTTGTCTTGGCCACCATGGGGTTAGTAAGATGCAGTCCACACCGTCTCTGAGTATTTTGCAGACCACTCTCAGAAGCAGAGGTAAGGGAGGGAACAGGTAAAGAACTCCCGTGGACCAAGGGTAGAGGAGACCATCTCCCAGAGATTGTGGGTCCCTGCCTCCTCGACTGCAGAACAGAGGACACTTTTTGTTGATTCTGGTGGCAAAGACATCGACTTGGGGAGCTCCCCACATGTGGAAGAGTGGAAAGAGGTATGTTGGGTTCATCCCCCACTCGTGAAGATTGAGTCCTGCTCGACTTAGATGGTCTGCCTGCACGTTCATGTGTCCGGGAGTGAGAGTGGCCACAAGGAAAATGTTGTTGGTGATGCAAAGCTCCCACAATTGGATGGCAAGGTTGCAGAGGCGTAGGGAAACAGTGCCTCCCTGTCTGTTGACATAAGAGAGCGCTGTGGTGTTGTCCGTGAGGACTGTGACACACCTTCCCTTGATTAAAGGTAGGAAGCTGGTGATAGCGTGCTGTATAGCCAGCAGTTCTAGGACGTTTATGTGTCACCTCCTCATCTGCGCATCCCATTTGTCTCCTACAGAAAGTCCCATGGAGTTTGCACCCCATCCTGTCAGGGAAGCATCCGTCGTTATGGTGACTTCGGGTGACGGAGGGTGGAAGGGCACTCCCTGGAGAATATTTGAAGGGACAGTCCACCAAAGTAATGAGTCCTGTATGCTGGGAAGAGGGGATAGGACGACAGTGTGTGCGTTTTTTGACAGGTCGTTATTGCGGATAAACCAGAACTGTAATGGGTGCATTTTGAGTCTTGCAAAGACGAGAACTGACGTAGTTGCAGCCATCAGGCCAAGCAGTCTCTGAATTTGGAAGGCCGTGACGGAGGGTTGGGTACAGACGACGGTGGCTAAAGAAATTATATCTGTTGCCCTGTCGTGGAGCAGGTAAGCCATGCATGTTGTCAAATCCAGTATTGCGCCAATGTACTGGTAAACTAGGGATTACAGCACAGACTTAAGGGGGAGTGTCAACATCCATGTGTTCTATAAGTCTGGCTGTAGATCATATCAATCTGTTTGACAGGAGCTGACAGCTCAGTGTCAGTAGAGGTGGCTCCAACCAGTTCTGTCTAGTTGATAGCAGAGCTAATTAACAGTGACTCAGCATTGGGTCCTGATTGGACAATGCTTGTATATATGTGATGCTGTACAATGTACCATCCTTCCTGATGGAAACCTGGTGTCTGCGTGAGCATTTTGACGT